TGGGACACCCCATTCTTGGTTTCCCACCTTCCTCCACGGCAGGTGCTTCTCAGTCCCCATTGCGGGCTCCTTAATTCCCTTTCAAATATGCAAGGCTGGTCCTGTCTTAGAACCTTCTCTGCCTCCCATCCACATTTTCGGGCTCCCCAGGTTGCCCGGCCAGGTGTCTTTCACCTTGTGTGTGCTGCTGGCTTGCCAGCGTTCGCTCCAGCCTCGCCGTCTTCCGGGCCGCACACGCCTCTCTGTCTTCACCTGCTGGTCTAGAAGCCACCTCACATAGAAACGGTCCAAATTCAACCTTCTGACTCCCTCCCCCCAGAACCGATGCGAGTCTTCCCAGCTGGGTAAGGGCAGGTACGCGTCCGCCCAGCTGCGGTCACACCCTGCACCCTCCGCACCCTCTCACCGCTTTCCTCCTCCGTCTCCGCCGCCACCAACCTGGTTGAAGCCACCATGCACTATGCTGTCCTCACACGGTCTCCAGGAGTGGGCTCGGAGAAGGGCAATTCGGGGACTGTTTCTCCTTGCCTCAGACGCCTCACTGGTTTCCTCCCGAACCCAGTTCCTCCCAGAAACCCAGATTCCTTTCTGGGCTGTGAGGCCTGATACTTTGGTGCTCCTTCATCTCCGTCTTCTTCCCCGTACTACACTTTCCCTGGCTTAGAGGGCTCCATCTACCCTTACTCACTCTCTTGCGGGTCCTGGGATATATTGCGCGCTTTCTTACCTCAGGACCTTTGCACGCACGGTTTCTGCTTTTTGAACTCCTTCCCCAAACCTTGCAAGGCTGCTTCCCCTCCTCATTCTTCAGATTGTCACCCACGGTCACCTCCTCAAAGGGACTTTCTGTGACCACAACACTTAAAACACGCCTGTGGTTCCCTCCCCAATACTCTATCCATTGTTTTCTTCAGAGCACCATCACAATCTGAATTCTTGTGTTTGCTTGTTTACTGTGTGTCCATCTCTCTCTGTTACACAAGGAGCCTCTTCAGGGCAAGGATCTTGTCTGCTGAGCTCACTGCTGTGTCCCCACAGCACAGAACTGGGCCGGGCACTTAGCTGATGGTAAACACCTAACTGTGGCCTCGCCCCCTGCCTAATAGGGGATTTCAGCAAGGACTGGATGAGGATGTGGGTAAGGAATGCACGCTGCCCCAGCAATACCCGCCCATACCAAATCCACAGCCCAAGCAGCTGTTACTGAGGGTTTCTAGAACTTCTGAGGGCTCTCATGAACCTGCTGTATGCCCATGACCCAGCTTTACACATATCGTCTTCCTAAAATAGAGTGGCTGGCTCTCTGACACTTTTAGTCCTTGGTGGGCTTGGGGTTACCAACATCACAGAGAGCAGCTCTATCTAATTTCTGAGAAGCCATAAAACCAGAACAAAAAGGTGGTGTCAGCTCTTGCGATGACAAAGAACAATCATAGGAGAGGAATTGAAACCATTTGTAGCTAAGCTTCGAGGCAGAACTTCTGTCAGGAAATTCACTAAGACAGATAAGAAGAAACGTCCATAGTGTGGGGTTGAAAGCTTGGGTCCAGAGCCAGACCGGCCAGCTTCGATCCCGCCTGGGTGTGGGACACTGATCACATTATCTGTGTGCTTCGATTTCCTTGTTGTAAATTGGGGACTATGGCAGCATTTGGTTAAAAGGGTTGTAACGTGAAGCGGGTCATCTGTGTAAAAATGCTAAGAATAGTGCCTGGCATGTGGCAACATCCGATGCATCTAAGTGATTATTATTCCAACTCATCTAAAAAGGGGGGGTTGCCTGGGTGGCTCAGTCGGTTAGGCGTCCGACTTCAGCTCAGGTCATGATCTCATGGTTCCTGGGTTCGAGCCCTGCGTTAGGCTCTGTGCTGACAGCTCAGAGCCTGGAGCCTGCTTCAGATTCTGTGGCTCCCTCTCTTTCTGACCCTCCCCTGCTCACACTGTCTCTCTCTCTCTCCCTCTCAGAAATAAAACATTAAAAAAAAAAAAAAAAGAAAAAAGTGGGAGACAAAAGTATTTACCAGATAGACTTATAAACAAACTGTTGTTCTGAGTTTAGATCTAGAATGCGGGCAGGTGACAGCTGGGGCCCGCATGGAGTGCCGGATGAGCCACTAGAGCACTGTGCGGTTTCTCACCCCCGCCCGGCCCACACCTTCTCCCCGGGGCTCTACGCGGACAGCGCTGCTCTCTGGCTGTTCTGCTGTTTTGCTTTGTTTTAGAGACAGAGCATGCACAAGGGAAAGGAATAGTGGATGGGAGGGAGGGAGAAGGAGAGAGAATCTTAAGCGGGCTCCACGCTCAGCACAGAGCCCAAGGCAAGGCTCGATCCCAAAACCCTGACTGGGATATGACCTGAGCCGAGATCAAGAGTCAGACGCTCAACCCATTGAAGCCCCTTTGGCTGTTTTTGAAAGCACCTTAACACCCAGGGCATCTGGACAGAAGAATAGGCTGCCTCATTCCAAGTCAACTGCAACTCTTCCGTTGTGGCTGGGTTTGAGAGGTATAGTTTTTTTTTTTGTTTTTTTTTTTAAATTTTATTTCTAGGAGAGATAGAGAGAGAGAGACAGCGTGAGCAGGGGAGGGTCAGAGAGAGAGGGAGTTACAGACTCTGAAACAGGCTCCAGGCTCTGGGCTGGCAGTCAGCGCAGAGCCCGACGCGGGGCTCGAACCCACGAACCGCGAGATCATGACCTAAGCGAAAGTCGGACGCTTAACCGACTAAGCCACCCAGGCGCCCCTAAGTGAAAACATGAGAGGTATAGTTTTGATTTGGCGGACCCCAAACAGGGCACCATGCAAGTTAAGAACTGGAAGACAGTGTTTAGGGATGAATATCCAGAATATCAAAAGAACTCCCAAAGCTCAATAAAACACACAAACAACCCAACTGGTAAAAAAAAAAAAAAAAAATGGGCAAAAGATGTGAAGAGCCGTTTCTCCAAAGGTCATCTACTAACGACCAATAAGCCCAGGAAAGGATGCCCCACCCTTACTAATCAGCACAGAAATGCAAAGCGAAACCATGACGAGACGCCTCTTCACACCCACTAGGGTGTGCATTATGAAGAACACAGAAATCAACCAGAGGATGTTTAGAGACAGGATGTGGAGAAACTGGAACCCGTGCACATTGCGAGTGAGCACGTCAGCACAGCGCCGGGGAAAACTGTATGGGAATGCCTCCGAAAATTAAGCACGGAACTACCCTACGGTCCCACAACTGCACTTCTAGGTATATACCCACAGGAATTGAAAGCAGGGACTAAAACGGGTATTTGTACACCCGCGTTCCCAGCAATGTTATTCTCAACAGCTAAAAGGTATGAATGACTCAAATGTCCATCAACAAATGAATAAAGAAAATGTGGTCTGTGCACACAATGGCGTATTACTCAGCCTCAGAAAGGAAGGAAATCCTGACACATGCTACAACGTGGATGAACCTTAAGGACGTTACGATCAGAGGAGAAAGCAGTCTCAAAGGGCAGATACACCATAGGATTTACCCACAGTGGAATTCATGGCGACAGCCAGTAGAACGGTGGTGGCCAGCGGCTGGGGAGAGGAGGGAACGGAAGTTAGTGTTTCATGAGTAGAGTTTCGGTTTTGCAGGATGAGAGAGTTCTGTGGACAGATGGCGCTGATGGCCGCACAACAACGTGAATGTACCTAATGCCTCTGAACTGTGTGCTTCAAAATGATTAAGCCTGGGTGGCTCAGTCAGTTAAGAGCTTGACTCGGCTCAGGTCATGATCTCATGGTTCGTGGGAAGGAGACCATGGCGGGCTATATGATGACAGTATGGAGACTGTTTAGGATTCTCTCTCTCAAAATAAGTAAAACATTTAATTAAAAAAAAATAACTGAGGGCGCCTGGGTGGCTCAGTCGGTTAAGCATATGACTTTGGCTCAGGTCATGATCTCTCGGTCCATGGATTGAAGCCCCACATCAGGCTCTGTGCTGACAGCTCAGAGCCTGGAGTCTGTTTTGGATTCTGTCTCCCTCTCTCTCCGTCCCTCCCCCACTAGTGCTCTGGCTCTCTCTCTCTCTCTTAAAAATTAACATTAAAAAAGTTTTTTTAATGATTAAGATGATACGTTTATGTGTAGGCTACCATTCTTTTATAAAAGGCTAAAACCCGACTTGTACATCAACCTCATTACAAGAGAAGTTTTGTTCAAAATTCCAAGTATTTGTTCATATTTAAATAGGAATCCCTTATGTAAATGAGATTTATTTCATCAACTCCCACTGGTGTACGAGCCGTGCTGGGTGCAAAGGGAGGGAAAATCAGGTCATGCCCTTGTGTGAAGAAACTCAGATTTCAACTCAGGGGAAGAAGAAGAGAAAGGAGAGATGAGAGAAGACGACATAGGAATTTAATAACTCGAACAAAAAGCAGAATGGGTTTGGAGGCTTTCAAGAGATGCGTGCAGAGGGCTTGAGCATTAGAGGAAGAAACCAAACATCTCCACACCAAACGTGAGATTGAAGGGAGGGAGCGAGGGCAGGAGGCGGGTCTCAATGTCACAGACTCCACGAGGAGCCAGGGGCAGACAGATGAACACCTGCAGAAGAGGAAATCTGTGCATTGATAGCAGAGCGTAGAAACAGAGGAAAAGGGAAGAGAAAATGTCAGCTGCCTTAAGCGAGACACTGTCTAAAACAGTGTTTAGTAAGAGAATTACTAAAATACACTGAATCAAACCCACTGCCGAAGCCAGTGTCTCCTGAAACGCAGCTTCCCAGCAAAGAATTTGCATTTCCAAGAATGTCTGCACTGCTCACACCATGATCTTCTTCTCCGCCACGGAGCGGGAGCGCGGCTGGCAGCAGAGAACCCAGCCAGGGGCCCCGGGTCGGCCCCCTCAGCGTCAGCAAAGACGGACACCGGAGGGCGGGTGTGAGGCCCAGGGCCCTCTGCTCCTCTTGTGTGCCCATCCAAGGCCGCCCCGAATATTACCCTGCCACGAAAAGAGAGGCTTTGACTCACTTGAAATGCAGAAATATTTATTTTGGTTTCCTTCATTGTTTTTGGAAATTGTTTTGGTTTATAAAACATAGAAATAGCCAACACTTAAAGCAAACATTCAAAACCCCAAGGTGACAAATTATTGACTTGTTGTGCAATTAAGAATACACATACGAAGTTAGGCTACCAAATAGTGTTACTACACGCGTGACAGTTCTTTAGTGCCAACCCTGTTGTGCTTGTGTAATACACACGTACTCTCACAAATCCCGAACCAGCTGCTTTCAGTGTGGAAGTGACAACTTGATTCAGTCACACGTGGCAAAGACTTGCAGTAAAGTGAAATGCAGCTAATTTCCCAAATTAACTTAAGAAAAAAAATTCCCTTGAGAAGTTAATCCCAGGAGATGAATTTTCCAGATTTCTACATCCTAGAATTTTGGCTTGGCAAATACATTTCAGAAAAATCAGGTAGCATTGTAAGAGTATTTGTTTATTACTGTCCATTTCAGTAAGTACCCATGTACATCTATTCTTTTAATGTTTTGAAAGACAAGCCTTGCCTGAGAGTTTATTGGGGGGGGGGGGAAGGGAAGCCTGTTAATCACAACATAATCTTTTGAGACGAAAGCCACATTAAAAATCCGTCGGCCATCACAAACAGTGACTGGTTCAGTGAAGATGAAGTGGACAGTTACACAGGCGTCACAGTTGAGCATGGTTGATCCAGGTAATTTTATTTCCTTCTTGAAATGCTGGTCTTCACTGCAGGGTCTAAGGCAGATTTTTTAATAACCCCTGGGAAAGGACAGAGGGAGGGAACCGGGTGTGGAGAAGAGGGTCAGAGCACATTCTGCCCCGTGGAGGCCAGAGCGCGCTCCTTCGCTCACGTGAGCAGCCATTCACCTGAGGCTCCGGGTCGGTGCTGTTTGCAGCTGGGTCTGTCCCGCGCTTCACCGGAAGCTTCTGCTTCTACAGGACCACAGCGACAGCGGGCAAGCACGGTGCTCCGTACCCCGCAATCAGAGGGGTCGTCAGACAGCACGTGAGGCGGGGAAGGGAAGGAGGCAGGGATTAAAAAAGAATCTCGGGTCCACTTGTGATGTTCTCCAGCTGGGACGGCTTTTGTTAAGGGACAGGTTCTCTCCAGTGCACTGTACTCGAGAGCAGCAGACAAATGCAGAATTTGCAGCAAAATCCTAATCCCTTGGTTGGAAAAACAGGGAGATGCAGTTTTCACCCGCCTTTTTTTTTAAACCGAGGAAGTCACAAATAACTTAGCACATTTATAGTTCCCCCTTTACAATTTTAAGGCTCATTTTGGAAACTGTGTATCACCAGAAGCGTGGTCTGCAACACGAAGGGACAGTAAGGCAGTGCTCCACGCCCTCCAATATTCCTATGACAAGAACCCGAATGCACAAGTCAAACACGGACGCTCCCTTTCCTACGCGTGCTCTAGTCAAAATTACCAACGTGAAGGCCATCAGTAGGAGGCTTTGGAGGTGTGTGGTTTCTTCCTCACATTAAACTTTGATGGTAGAATAAAGTTCATCTATCTGTGACCTGAAATAGTTCCGAAGCTCTGGCCGTTTGGCCTTCATTGTTGGGGTCAGAAGGCCGTTGTCCATAGAAAACAGTTCAGGGTGGAGACTAATGCCTTTGACCTGCAAATAAATGAGGAAATTAAAGCAAAAAAACAAGGACAGATGCGACCTGAATCTAAACAGCACGCAGGCCCGAGGGGATGGAGGCCCTGGCCAGCCGCTCTGTCCACACGGGCGCAGGGGCTACGCCTAGGCCAGAATCCGGGCCTGGATCCCGACCTCCAGAAAAGCGAAGGCTTACTCCTTGGTTACAGAAACCCACCCCCCACCCTGCTGGCCGAGCCTCCATCATGCTTTCCCCGTGGGTCTCTTCAGGTCACCTGGCGCTCCACGCCTGTTCACACGGAATCCTCAAGCTAGAAACTGTCATGTAGGGTTCGTGCGTGATCAAAGTCCTACCTGTTCAAACGGTTTCAGGCCAGATTCCTTCCCGAGCCTCACCATGTCTTCTAAGATGGCTTTTTTGACATCCTAGGAAGGCAAGAAAACAACACGCTTGCTGTGTTGAAGGGCTCTGGAGGCGGGCTTGGCGCCAGGCGAAGGTCCGGAGGTAGACCACACACTTCAGAGCCTTACCTTGTTCCTGCACAGTTCCTCAAAGGAGCCTTCAAATCCTCTCTTTTTGGCCCAGGAACATAACGTCTCAACATCCGGTACCACGATTGCTATGAGAAATGCCTTTAACACAGACAAGTGAGTTATGACATGGTTTGACGGAGAGATTCTGAAATAGCGGCTCTTTATCATGCACATGGACCCCGGGAAGATCTGACGGAAGTCACAGACTCTTCAAACATTACCAGCCCCGGGGGTCCATGGAGCCCAGGTTAAGAACTCCCAGCTCTAATTTTTTACATTTCTTTATTTTTGAGAGACAGAGTGAGACAGAGCTAATGCGGAGGAGGGGCAGAGAGAGAAGGAGACACAGAATCTGAAGCAGGCTCCAGGCTCTGAACAAACGTTCAGCACCGAGGATGATGTGGGGCTCGAATCCACGGACCGAGATCATAACCTGAGCCGAAGTCAGACACTTAATCGATTGAGCCACCCAGGTGCCCCAAGAATTCCCAGCTCTAAAAATGCACACGGCACCAGGAGTTGTGCAATTAAATGTTTTAAAAGGGCTGCTGGGCATCAAAGTCTGACAAAACCCTAACTTTTATTTACTTTTGCATATTTTACTATTAAAACTATCAAGCTGGTGGGGCAATAGATATCAATTAACTGCTATAAAAAAGAGAGAAAGAGAAAATTTATACAGATTCATTTTCTTTAAATCTTTCTGATTCTGTGTCTCCCTCTCCTCTCCCCTCCCCTACTTGTGCGCGCTCTTTCTCTCTCTCTCAAAAATAAATAAAACATGGGGCACCTGGGTGGCTTTGTTGGTTAAGCGTCCGACTTTCGCTTAGGTCATGATCTCGCGGTTGGTGGGTTCGGGCCCCGCTTTGGGCTCTGTGCTGACAGCCCAGAGCATGGAGCCTGCTTTGGATTCTGTGTCTCCCTCTCTCTGTCTCTCCCCCACTCATGCTCTGTCTCTCTCTCAAAAATAAATAAAACATTAAAAAAATTTTATTTAATCTCTAATGCCTTTTTTTTTTTTTTTACAATTCAGTAACAATAAAAGTAAATAAAAATCAAAGGCACGGTAAGGTACCGGGTTCAAAGGAAAACAATACTCAAATAGATGTATTCCCTATAAGATAACATTCTTCTAAAAGTTATCTCAAAGTATTTTCAAGACTTGAAAAAGAAGATGAACTTTCAGGAAACCAGACCCTTTTCTCTTCCTTGCCAACATCTGCCCGACACTTTGCAGACAGACATGTCCCTACAATATTGACCTTGGTTTTCAACTTCATGTACATACTGGCTCACAGCCACTGCTCAGAAATAATACATTTGAAAATTCTAAACTTCCTCAGAATCGGCCTATCACTATCTCCTTTCATAATGAAATTAAGAGCATATTTTACCTACTCCTGAATATCTTTATCCAATTCCCCTTGGTCCACCAGACCACTCCAGGGACGTAAAATAAAAATACGCAATTTAAAGAGAAAACCTCTTCTGGACAAGAAGTGCCAGGCAGCAGAACCCCACAGTGTGACAGCCCGTCACAAGTGAAAGTCAATTCGGTCTCATCGCCAACTTCCCACCGCACTGAAAACTCCAGAGCCCGAGGCCCCGGCCACGCTGGCGTCACGTGGCGGGTGAGGCAGAGGGACCGCACCTGCAAGCTCTCTCCGTGCACAAACACCTGGGCGACAGGCTCGCTTTGCACGTAGATGTTCTCAATCTTCTCAGGTGCTATGTACTCTCCTTGCGCCAGTTTAAATATGTGCTTCTTCCTGTCGATAATCTTCAAGGTGCCATTCTGTTTGCAAGAGGGGAGGGAAGGGCTGGGGGTGGCTCCTCGGCTGGTGTCCCCCCCACCCCGCCCCTGCCCTCCCCATGTCGGTCACACACAGTTCAGGGGATTTCACGTGGCATCATTTAATCCTGGTAACAAGGCACAGGGACGAGCTGTCAGCCCATGTGAGGCAGACCGAGGTTTGGAGAGACTAAGTGACTTGCCCAAGGCCAGTGAGTTGAGTGAAGAGAGAGAGAGAGGGAGAGAGAGAAGGGGCTCCAGAGCTCACGCTGCGTCCCCAGTAGCCGGGCAGCAGCACTCTGGCTCGCTATCCCTCTGGCTGCCCAAGCGTGAGGCCTGCCCTTTGGGAGCACAGACACAGGCCCTCCCGTTGCGCTCTGTGTGCACAGCGAGGGCTCAGGAGATGTCTGCTAGAGAGGCTGGGCACCCGCTTCCTTTGTCGTCGTTTCAGGGCAGGAGTGGGAGGGGGCTGCTCCTGGCCCCTGCAGCAGCGCCGGTCAGCTGCCCACAGGACAGCCGAGGCGAGCCACAATCTCTCTGCCAGGCTGGCCAGATGCCGGAGCGCCCGCCTCCGGTGACCCGAACCCCCACCCCCATTCAACCCATCCCCATCCCAGGGTCATTCTCAGGCTTCCAGAAGTCAGCTGTTGGGACGTTACTATGGCTCTCTCGTTCCATGTTGGTTCTGTGCCATTTTCACAAGGAGAAGACTGAGGTCCAGAGAGATTAGGAAATGTGTTCATTAGCGCCAGAGCCAGATTTAGAACCGACACGTAATCCCTCTTGAACTCGGAAAGAGGGACTTAATTTATTTCTGAATAACTTGGGTATGCTGAAGTCTGAGCTGATTGGCTTGGTGGGGTTGGGGGCAGATTTTTCAAATCAATAAAAATTTAGGGGAGTATTAGGCACCTTAAATCTGTAAGAATCAACCAATACAACCAATAATAAAAATTACATTAGTCATTTCAGTGCTTGTAATTAAACACAGTAACCACTTAGAAAAAGCAGTGGTTGATACCACAGCAAGCAAAATTGGCCAAACCTATGCGCATGGCTTCTTGCACATGCCTCTCTCTTACACTGGACTCTGGAATATCTCTACAATAAATTTAAGACTAAATTCAAAGGTGTTGATCTAATCCGCGGAACACTTACTCTATTTGTAATGAGATGAAAACCCTAGTAAACACACATATTGACAAATTCTTGCCCACCATACCTTCCTGGCGGTCTACCACACTGCTCCCCGCACCTTTTTAAATGAAGGCCTTAACATCGAGGTCCAGCCCGGATATATAAAAGGCTGTACGTAGTCTCTCTGGATTCCAAACAGGAAGCAGCAGAATTGATGTCAAGCATCAAGACCAGGCCTATTTGCTAAAGTGAAGATGAAAATCCTACCCAGGCACGCTCAGAGCACAAACCTGTTCCCTGTAGGAAATGGGCCCCCTACACCACACCCTCTCAGCAGGGAAGGAGAAAAGTGAGGCCACCACGTGCAGCCAAGGGGATATTCTCAGCAGAAAACAATAGTCTGTGGGGACAGAGGAGGTGAGCACTTACTGGTAACCACTTTCCAATGTCCCCTGTGTGTAACCAGCCATCTTTATCCAGAACTTCTGCTGTTTTTGCTGGGTCCTTCAAGTAGCCTTTAAATACATTTGGGCCTTTTACACACACCTGAAGAGAAAAAGATTGGAGAGGGGTGAGGGGGGAGTAGAGGAAGGGGGTAAAAAGGCACAAAACTTCCAGCCAGGAGGCAAATAAGTCCAGGGATGGAATGTACAGCATGGTGCCTACAGCTAACACTGATGTGTGATATATTCAAACGTTAAGAGATGAGGGGTATATGGGTGGCTCAGTTGGTTAAGCGTCTGACTCAGGATTTTGGCTCAGGTCATGATCTCACAGTTCATGAGTTCGAGGCCCATGTCCGGGCTCCACTCTGGGATTTTTCTTTTCTCTCTCTCCCTGCCCCTCCCCTGCTCTCACACTCTCTGTCTCTCTAAAAAGAAATAAACTTAAAAAAAAAAGTTAAGAGATGAGATCCTAAGAGTTCTCATCACAAGGAAAAAACTGTTTTTCTTATAGCTATAGGAGATGATGGATATTAATGAAACTTATTGTGGGTAATCACTTCACAATCTATGTATGTCAAATCATTATGCTGTTTAGCTTTTGTTTTTAATGTTTATTTATTTTTGAGAGAGAGAGGCAGAGCAGGGGTGGGGAAGGGGCAGGGAGAGGCAGACAGAATCTGAAGCAGGCTCCAGGCTCCGAGCTGTCAGCAGAGAGCCTGCCACGGGGCTCGAAGCCACAAATCCTCACAAACTGTGAGATCATGACCTGAGCTGAAGTCAGATGCTTAATTGACTGAGCCACCCAGGCGCCCCAATCATTGTGCTGTTTATACACACACACGTTGTTGTATGTCAATTACATCTTGATAGAACTGTGGGGAGGGGAAGATAATCTGTTAACAGCGTTTCCCGGGGGTTCTCCGGAGAAAGGTGGGGTGCGTGTGTGTGTGCATGTGCCCGTGTCTCAACCTTTAGCTAGAAGCCCCAAATTCCACAATCCAGAAAGAGCTACCAGAGCCACACTGGGATCTTGGGGGTACCTCCGACGCCCGTTTCCCCGTAACGAGCTCAGCCGCAGTCAGGTTGCAGGCTACTGCCTGCCTGAGGGTCTGGCTCCCAGCTGCTGGGGGGCCCCAAGGGGGATGAAATCATTTGAAGTAATGAGGCTTTCCTTCCGCTGGCCAGTAGCTCACTCACAGGCATGCAGGGCAATCAGCTGACCAGAGCTGTGCTCCAGGCCTTGAAGCGCTTCAGCCTTTGCGTGCCCAAGTCCCTATGGTGTCTGATGGGAGAGACGTTAGTGGTACCCCTCCCACATTAGGAACCTTCAAAAAGAAGCCTGTTTGATCCCGGATCACCAATAACATCAAGCTCAAGGCCTTTTCGTGACAGTGCCGTGAAACAGCAGTGCAGGGGGCATGGGCACGGCCGTCCATCAGAGGGACGGCGATGAGGGTGAACGCCTGGGGGGGGGGTGGGCAGTTCACTTACCTCGCCCTCACCCTTGGCCGCCAGGTAGTTCATTTCTTCTACATCAACAAGTTTTATAAGATTGCATGGCATTGGGGCACCGACGTGGCCTGCATGTTCAATAGAAGAATGATCAATCCCAGGAAGGCTACTAATATCTTGGGCTGAATTATTTTTATAGGAAACAAGCCTGCTCCTGCTCATAGTAACAACAGCTGGTGTGAACTTCTGTTCTCTGCGATTATATCCCGTCCCCCACCCCCCCCCACCCCCACTGTCCCCGGAAGGGAACATAGAGTGTTTATTCCTCGAAGAGAGTCAGATATTCAGAAGTCTTTTAGCGACCTTTCCCAAATTTGATGCTCCAAATTATTTTTCAGAGTAGAAATAATTTGGCTGGGGATTTTAAGGGGTTTCTACAAATGCCTGGACGCAAGCTTTTTAAAACTTCTCCTGCGCTCTCACAATCTGATGGCCCCTGTTCATCTGCCACCTCTCTCTCAACAGACTTAACATCCCTACTTTCGGTAAGAGAACACAAGAGGCACCTGGGTGGCTCAGTTGGTTAAATGTCTGACTTTAGCCCAGGTCATGATCTCATAGTTTGGGAGTTCAAGCCCTGCATCAGGCTCTCTGCTTTGGATCCCCTGTCCACCCCTCGCCCACTCATGCCCTCTCTCAAAAAAAAAAAAAAAAAAAATTATTTTAAATAAAAGGTTATACACAGCAAAGCTTTGACAAAAAAACAGGAGAATGTGTTTTAGATTTAAGTTTATTAAGATAGGATGGGGCTTATTTTCACAGCTAACTCTCCTGCCCAAAGTGGTTCAGATTGGGTTGTCTTTTCCCAAACAAAAGAGTAACAGAGGGGCGCCTGGGTGGTTCAGTCAGTTGAGCGTTCAACTTCGGCTCAGGTCATGATCTCACTGTTCATGAGTTCAAGCCCCACGTCAGGCTCTGTGCTGATAGCCTGGAGCCTGCTTCGTATTCTGTGTCTCCCCTCTCTCTGCCCCTCCCATGCTCATAGTCTGTCTTTCTGTCTCTCAATAAATAAAACATTAAAAAATTAAAAAAAAAAAAGAGTAACAGAAATGAGATAGGTTTTAAGAGCATCACGGGGTGCCTGGGTTGCTCAGTTGGTAAGTGGCCAACTTTGGCTCAGGTCATGATCTTGCGGTTTGTGAGTTCGAGCCCCATGTCGGGCTCTGGGCTGACAGCTCAGAGCCTGAAGCCTGCTTCAGATTCTTTGTCTCCCTCTCTCTCTGCCTCTCCCCTGTTCACACTCTGTCTCTCAAAATAAATAAATATTTTTAAAAAATTAAAAAAAAAAGAGCATCACAAATAATTCCCCTATGTTTTATGTTTTTTGCATAAAGAGATCACTGCTCCAAATTCTCTCAGCTGATAAAGAACCAGGGGTTTATAAATTAAACCATGAAGAAGGTTCAGAGACAATTAGTGGGAGTCCCAGCAGAACTGTGCTACTAGAAGTTACTAGATAGTGCTTGTGTTTCTAACACGCCAAATAAATCAGCAGGGTCCGCCGTGTGGAGAGCGCACTCCCTGTGCGCTACAGAGGAGAGCACAGAAACTCCGCCGTCAGATCTGGGCTGGAATCCTGGCTGCAAAGCACGATGCTGGGCAAATTCTTGTCCATTATTTACGTGCTTTTTAATCCATCATCATTTCCTCCCCGGGGTCACAGGGCCGACTTCATAGGGATGCTATGAAGTGCCTGTGATGTGCACCTCAAGCACCTAATACGCAAGCCTATTCATGACAGCTGCTGGATTGATCATTTTTGTATTTGCCTCTCCTTGTGCCTTTTGGGAGAAATGACTTGTTTCTTTTGCTCTGTGGTATTGACACCTAGCACAGCACCCAGTGCTTAAATTCAGTTCAAGTTTACCAGCAGATAATTAGACCCCAATCAATTCCTTGCAAGCTCTGTTGCGCCCAATGCTCTGCACCAGGTAAAAAGGGCATCATGTCTCAGCTGTCAGTCTCAGCATCTACGTACATCCCGACTGCCCCCTGTGTTACGGCCGGGACCTCAAAGCACATCCTGCTCTGCCATGGCGGCCATTTCCATGAGGGCCCTTGGTTTACCAGACTGTTTGCCCCACAGCCTAATCACTGGAGACACAGAACTTGAGTTGGTTAATGAACCAATGATGAACCCAATCCCAGTAACTCTCAATTGAGTAACAGGATGCCTGTAAGCGGTGTCTGGCTCTGCGTACCTGCTGTCCAGTCCCCAGGCATGGTCAGGCAGCACCCGGCAGTGCATTCAGTCTGTCCGTAGCCTTCATAAAACTGGACCAAGAGGGGAAACGTTATTGAAGGGAACAGTCACACCCATGCTGCAAGCGCACAAATCATTACGTTCTTCCAACTCCTGAGTAACGGCTGACCATGGCCGTGGTGAAATCTCTTTTGAAATAGTCTATGAGTAAAACCGCGGATTGGGAGTAACTGTTCTGCCAGTGTTCCGCCTGATGGGCAAACATTTCTAATAACTTTTAACTTGATAAATGAGCGATGTCTTGCGCGTGATGCCCAATGTCACATGACCACAACTGAGCTGATGGTTCTTGAAATTTGCTTTGATATATGAGTGCTTTGGGTTACAAATATATTTCCGGAATGAATTATGCTCACAAAGCAAGGTGTGACTGCATATGGTAAGTCTGGCAACTACTACTATGGCTTTGTTATGGCACCCAGACATCCTCACCTCCAACACGGAACACCAGCCTCTGTCCATGGTCATCTTCTCTACTTAACCTCCCCCTCCTGCAGACACGTCAGGGGGATGCTGACATGGCCCAACAGGTCACACTGCACGCTGCCCACTCGGGAACGCACTCATACGGTCTGCTCGCGGCTCTGCCCCGCGCAGGTCTCACTTGTCACCCAGTCTCTTGCCTCTCCTGACTCCATGGTTTGCAGGTGGGGCTTACCACTTGCATCCCATTGCCATACCCTCAGGCCTGGTTAAAGGCAAGTTTTATGGGCTGTGCTTGACCCCTGGGAAAATGATACAGTCTGTGGTGGCCACAGACGCATCTTCTCGTGCCTCACATACACGAGATGCACATGCGCGTTCCTTTCCCCAAATACGAATAACACGATCTTCCCAACCAAAAGAAGACACAAAACTAGAAGGATGGCTTTTGGAGAGGAGATTCCTGGGCTTGGGAAAGGCGGAGGCAATCGGCTGTAGTGACGGCCACCTCACCTGACAGCCGAGCGCTGCTCTCAGAAACGTCAGCACGGTGGCGGACACGGGCGCAGCTCCTGTGATCATCAGCCGGACCTTTCCTCCCAGGCTCGACTTGCAAGGCAAGGAGAGGGGAGACAGTGAGGGCCAAATGGCTGCAGGCTGGTGGGCTCCCCAAAGACACCGTGGGCACCCGGTGCGCCCAGCCCCCCAGCTCCTTCTCCGCAGCCCCACAGAGCCCACCCATGCGCAGACAGCTCGCAGGCATTCAAAAGATGAATGCCTGGCTGCAGCTTGTTTCCACCTGGAGTGACACCATGCACTCTCAACGGGTATGAAGAATAACCCAACACCACTACTTGTGGGGTTTTTGTTTTGTTTTTGTTTTCACTTTTTTACTTTCAAGAAATTAGAACAAGAGTGTGGTGGACTGGGGCAAGCACCACATTTTTTGGCATTGTTTTGGACATGGTATCGTTCTTCCACGTTCTTTATCACGCGTGCCTAAAAAATGACGTCAGGAATAACATGCTTGTTTTAGAAATCCAAGCAAAGTAAAAAATTAGGAAGGCTCTAATACCCTGATTCCTTTTCTTCCCTACTACGCTACCACGTTGCTCAGCTTTACACTGGATATACTGAGGTTTACCTAGTGGCTTGGTCCTGAATTTTTTAGAAATGTGCCAGAATTAATAAAAACATGCCATTCTCTCCTACCTTCATACCTGGCTTTAGAAAAGAGCCCTCAGAGAAACTTTGAAGCCACAGTTAGTTTACATGATAAACCATAGTTGTGAGTCTGTCACCTGTATCTTGTGGAAGATTAGTTTATCCCACAGGCTGTTGTTCCTAATGATGCCACTGCGAAGCTCAGACTCTTTCCTCTTGGAGGCAAAGTCCAGGAGCCATCGCTTCAGGGTGGTGTTTGCCTGCCCGAAAATCTGATGAGGCAAGAAAAGAGAAGGTTTCAAAATGACTGGGATGGCTGGAACCAGAAAGTCAGACAGCTAGAGGTGTCGGTTCAGGTGTGGAGAAACTGGAACCCCCCTCACGTTGCTGGGTGGGAGGAACACCGTATGGCTCAGTCGCTTGGGAAAGCAGACCGGTAGTTCCTCCAAAAGTTAAACACAGAGGCACCATGTGATCCGGCAACTCCGCTCCAGCGTAAGTACCCAAGAGGAAAGAAGGCACATGTCCACGCAGAAACTTGTACGTAATTGTTCACAGCATGGTTATGCATGATAGCCAGCAAGTGATGACAACCCAAATGCCCGCCCATGCGTGAAAAGATAAATAAAATGTGTTATAGCTGTGGAATCTAAGAAACCTAACAGATGAACACAGGGGAAGGAAGGAAAAAGAAGATGAGAGGAGAGGGAGGCAAACCATAAGAGACTCAAACACAGAGAACAGACTGGTGGTTGCTGGCAGGGTGTTGGTGGGGGAATGGGAAAGTGGGTGCTGGGCACTGAGGAGGGCACTTGTTGGGATGAGCACTGGGTGTTGTATGTAAGTGATGCATCACTGGGTTCTGCTCCTGAAACCAATACGACACTGTATGTGAACTAACTTTAATTTAGATAAATAAATTAAAAAAATAAAATGCCAAACCGTTAGAACAGGACTGATCTTGTTATGACAAAAAAAAAAAAAAGTGTTATATCCATACAGTGGAATATCAGTTGACCGTTAAAAAGGATGAGGTACGGGGGCACCTGGGTGGCTTAGTCGGTTAAGTGTCTGACTTTTGCTTAGGTCATGATCTCGTGGTTCGGGGGTTCAAGCCCCACGTCGGGCTCTGTGCTGACTGCCAGCTCAGAGCCTGGAGCCTGTTTCAGAGTCTGTGACTCCCTCTCTCTCTGACCCTCCCCTGCTCACGCTGTCTCTCTCTCTCTCCTAGAAATAAATAAAACATTAAAAAAAAATTAAAAAAAAAAGGATGAGGTACAGACCCATGCTACAACATGGACGGACCTTGAAAACATGCTAAGTAAAAGAAGCGAGACACAAAAGAACAGATATTTCATGATTCCATTCATATGAGAGTCCAGAACAGGGAAATCTATACATGCAAAAAGTAGATTCATGTCCCTGGCGGTGGAAGGTGGTTGAGGATAGCTCAGGTGCATTGTTTCCTTTTGAGGTGGTAGAAGTGGGCTCTGGTGATGGATGCAGAGCTCTGTGAGTGTCCTAAAAACCTGTGAATTTTATACTTTAAATGGGTGAATTATATGGAAGGTGAATTACATCTCAATCAAGCTATTTTAACAAGTTTTTTTAAAGAACCATTAAAAAAAACAAGAAAGCTCTCTTAAGTAACATATGCCCTGCCTTACAATGAAGAGTATGAAAGCTGCCTGGTGCAAATTCATCTTGAAGAATGCTCATGCCACACACTGGTCCTGCCCAGGACATGTGGTCCGTGCCCCTGTGGCCCCCCACAGAAGGGCTGGCATTCTCTCCATCCCTGTCTTGGCTCAGTCACTTCGTCTATGTGGTTAAGTCAGTCACATTACGTGTGCATGGACATTACAATTTACAGAATCAATCATTTCACAGTTATTGTCCTCACGTGATGCGATTAGCAATTTTATGTGCTAGACAGCAGGGAGAGGAGGGAACAGTCCATTGTGCAGATGAGAAAATAGAGGCTCAAAAGAGTTTCCTGAACAAATAAGATGACCTCCCACTTACACCTGTACTGGGCCTTTCAATTCACAAAACCCGTCTGTTGGCGGGTTTTGTCTCAGAGTCCTTACCAACAGCTCTGTGAGGGAGATGATGGGGAAACTGCCTTCCGTGAGACCAAGGGAATGGAAGGTACCCGGCTGAGCCCAATCAAACCCAAGTCTCAGACTCGAGGTCCCCGTTCTGCTGCTTGGAACTTACTCGGTCGAACATCCGGTTCAGCAGTCTGGGTACCACAGGGAAGACCGTGGGTTGAAGTGTCTTGAGGTCATCCATAAGCAGCCTGATATCTCCTTGGAAAAATCCTATTTTAGCTCCATGACACAGCATTACACACTAGGGCAGGAAACGAAAATAACCCACACGTCATCACCAGAGCAGGCACTATACTACATACACAGACAGACACACAAGGCTTCAACTTCAGCATAGGGACCAGTTTCCAGAAAGCCTGAAGTTCTACGTATAGGCAGCTTTTCAAAAAGTGTTTTCACATTCCCTGGCCCTTGCACAACACGGAAATGTGGTACTTCTCTTGATCGTCCTGAAGATCAAGGAACTGGTAAGAAACCATGCAGTACTGTTTTCAGTGATGATCATGGAGCTTCTGCTGGTTTAGGCTGATGACAAATGGGTGGTGAATGTTATGTAATCCCAGTATTTTACTCTTCTAGAAGCTTTAGGCCTAACTTAGTCTTTAAACAAAAACCTAGCCATGTTGCAAACTTGGCTATTTACCAAGCTTATGAAAGTCTCACTTTTTAAAATCTGAATCTAACTAAAAATCTCTGAAAAGCCACTGGATGTGCTGCGGTTAAGATCCGGGGCCACCAAACACCCAAGCAGCCTGACGTTCGGCCCTATGACCCATTGCGTGGATGTGTTCCCGTCCGATGCAAATCGCACTGGTAAGCCACACATGTTTGACAAACAGTCTGCCTGTTTTAAGTTTTAAAAACAAAGAGAGATTCAAAAGACGACGCTATGGAAGTACAAATGGTCTCAGGCTTGAAAGCAGAAACCACTGGAAAGGGACACCACAGTCCATGGTTTAAATTTTCAGGCTCAGGGGGCTTTTGCTCAGGGGTGTCCCGGCCCACCAGGCACATTTCCAAAACTGCAGTTAGTTACACACGGTCCGTTATCAGCTCGCTGGAGATCACTCTGGAAACTGACAAGGTCTTCTGGGGTGTGAAGTAGCAGAGGTAACAGATGGAAAATGGGATCTCATGACCCTTGATCCTTTAGGGGTAAGCATGCCCTGGAGGGCAGCAGCCAATCAGAGGGCCACTGGCTCTGGATCAGTCACCTCTTTGTCACAGACACCTCGCACAGTGCCTGGCACATGGCTGCTACTTGGTAAATATTTGTTAAATGAATGGATGGCAGCCACTGGTTTTTTTTTTTTCCTGGAAGTATACGATCCAGACTTGTCCAAGAAGGAAAAGAGGTGGTTCTCGGTCAGTTTTTAAAATAGTCACACAGTTGTATGCAGGGAACCCAGGCAAAGGTCAGCTGTAGATCATCCTGCTTTTCCAAGGGCACTAAGAATATTGGTGAAAAAAGTGTGTCTTAAGCCGACTTGTGCGTTATTAACAAGCATCATCAAAAACAGAGACTTCTTACAGAGGCAGAAACAGAAGACGGCGTTTATAAAAATTCTACTTTTACAGTTAAATTCCTGGAATCACGCCATGTGCATATCCTTTGAAAGTCTGAGCTTCTAATTTTAAAGTGAATGATTAATAAAGTTCAACTATCGGGTGCCAGGGTAGCTCAGTCAGTTAAGCGTCTGACTTTGGCTCAGGTCATCATCTCACGGTTCATGAGTTCAAGCCCCGTGTTGGGCTCTGTGCTGACAGCTGGAGCCTGGAGCCTGCTTCGGCTTCTGTGTCTCCCTCTCTCCCTCTCTCTCTGCCCCTCCTCTGCTTATGCTCTCTCTCTCTCAAAAATAAATAAACTTAAAAAAAAAAAATAAAGTTCAAGTATCCAGGCCCCCACCCCCAAATTTACACTCTAAAAATAATCAGCACCATTTCTAAAATGGAGTTGAGGAAAAAACTAGCTGTGGGGATGACCAGCTACACATCAGACTTACCTGCATTAACAGTTCATACATGTGTGCAAGTGGTAAAAACGACATGTGTACATCACTGGCATTCAAAGCAAGTGCTTTCTGAAAAATACAACAACTTAGCAGATCACAAGCAAGCAAGCAAAGTAAAACAAGGGGCCTACCTCTACAACTCTTTCAAACATATGGGCGAGAGGCAAGAAAGAGATCAAAGTATCATCTGGGGAAGGCTCAAGTGTATTCTGTAAGCAGACACCAGCAAGCAGAAAAGCATTAAGATTCCCAGCAATTTTCCATGTGTATTCCAGAGCACATAATACCTCAATATCAAAGAGAAACAGCTTTTGCTTACACTCTAAAATTATTTCTCCCCCAAAGGATGAAATGAAAACCAACACTTTAATTATACAATCAGAGAAGAGCTCACTTCTAATGAAATAAACCCATTCAGGACGTTAATCAAAATAAGGAAGGTTTTGTCCAGACTGGGATGTTAAGGAAGGGATTATGTGCTTTAATAATTTAGTATTTCAAAGTCACAGTACCCCATAGCCTAGGAAGCTCAATTTCACCGTAAGAAATGAAAGGTCCATTCCAACCCGAGATAGTATATTATGTTGTATAAACAGAAAATCTATTCCAACATGAGATAGCATATTACATTGTATAAATAGAAGATCTATTCCAACATAATATAGCATCTTATGTTGAAAAGGGAAAGGGGGAGAGAAGAGACATTGGATTACCAAGCTCTTTTATAGTATAAACACGTGTTGTGTATTTTAGTTTGATCAACATCTTTACCCGAATGGCCTACTTCGCCCCATGAAAAATATCTTGATTTGTTTGGTGCAAGGTCTGATCTGGCACCAATTCCAATAAAATGCTGATGTGATACAGGTCTGCATCTGGGTTGAGCAAGACATCTGGTTTTCACTTTAAGGCTGAGAATGGGCTTCGCGGAGGGCCAGGCACAATGAGGGTTTGCGTGGAACACTCATGTTATTAACATACAAAATTCTGGCCAAAGCAGGGGCTGCCTTAAGGCAGTTACAAAACGGAGGCCCCATCTGGTGCCTACGCAACCGCTTCTGGGCTGTGCCCATCCCCTCCTTGAAGCTGCCCCATCCTTCATAACACAGTGACAGATGAAAACACCGGTCCTCAGCAAACCCAGCAGCTCCAGAAGTGGGTGACAGAGCCCGAATGTGCCATAATTTGACCTTAATTTTATTCAAGCATGATCTGCGTCCCAACTAGTACATCTTGGTAGGAAAGTGCTACGTAAGGAGGAGTCAGACTCGGTCATTCCTATACTTTTCAATTTCCTGATTTGGTACCTGCCATCAACCCCCCCCCCCCCCCGCCCCGCCCAAAAAAGGTCTGTTAGCAAGATAAGAAGTTTTACAAAGTTGTGAATGCCCCTGAGAGTATAATTAATTTTAAACAAAGTTTGTAATCATTTGCCTCAATAAGCCACGAGCCTATTTCAAGTTTTATTTGAAGGCTACTTTGGAAATTAAAATTCCACGTGGATGAGGTACTAAACATTGAATTCTGCTTACAAAGTTATATGTTGAAAAAGGTACTGGGGACTAAGGAAGTGTGAGTGTAGGTAAGAGACTGACCTTCTCCAGCCACCAAAGATGCACATTCCCCAAAACCATTAAGCACAGGCTGCTGTCACAAAAATCAGGGCCTACACAACCTTCCCAGAGACCGCAAGAGCAAAGTAAGTGAAATGTGCCAAGGGTATGCGGGAAAGGCATGGTATTGCTCAGTAAGTACTTGTTTTTAAAAGGCAAGTTTGAAATATACCCTTGGTGCTAGGGACTGGATTTGCAGATGGAGCCCTTGGGGAGGTAATTCAGGTTAAGTGAGATTATAAAGGAAGGGGACCCGATAGGGCTGGTGCCCTTGAAAGCAGAGGAAGAAACGCCAGAAACCGGTCTCATTGTCTGTGTGCACAAAGAGGAAAGGCCATGCGGGGACCCTACGAGGAGGCCAGGCAGAGCCCTCACCAGAAACCCAGTTTGTTGACACCTTGATCATGGACTTCCAGCCTCTAGAACTGTGAGAAAACAAATGTCTGTTGTTTAAGTCACTCAGCCAGTGCTGTTGTGTTATGCCCTGCAGACCCGGACACTTGGAAGGCAAACTTTAAGACAACGGGAAACCAACTGAAGATCAAGGTTTCAATCTTTTTCAAACAATGAAAGTCAGATCAACTGCAATAAATAACAGTAACTCAAAAGCCTTCCACAGTATTTAACATTTCACTGTCCACTTGAAGAAATTATTTTCCCCACATCAGGATGGAAGCACAAGGGAGACATTTTTTCTTGGCCCTTTCCTGGAAACATTTATACAGGGGAGTATCCACATGAAGTTTTACTACAGAAAAGTTGTAATAACTTCTGTCAATTCAGCTTAACGGTCACAAGCAGGAGTTGGAGATGAGGCTTGGAGTGAAAGCTATCCGAGAGAGGGTAATCTGAAACCGTATTAAAGCTCAGACCTTACCTCCATGTCAAACAGTGCTCCAAGCACAGCACGGGCCACATGTGGTGGTGCAACCATAAAACCCTTTCATCCCTGAGGCCTAGTGCCAACCACCCAGCACGAAGAAAGATGGCGACATCCCAAAAGCTTACCTCTGTTATTTTCACAAAAGCTGAACAATCACTCATTATATTTTGATGAGTGATCAGGGCTCCTTTGGGGTTGCCTGAGGGACACACATGAGTAGAAACCACATTAAAGAAACGCCATCCCCAAATGACAGGAATTAAGGAAGCCCAGAACCCTGTATAACTGGGGCCTCAAATGCTTCTAGTGTTAGGTGCAGCCGTGAAAGCCAACTGCTGGATGACTTTAAATGACATTAAGCCCCTGAACAATGTGCAGTCCTCTACATGAAATCTCTTGTCTTAAACAACCTGTAGTAATATGGTGAGTTTTACAGGGCGTGTGTAGCGGTAAGAGGAGAAAACGTGGGAATTTTACTTCTGGAACTTAAATGTTGGTTTGTCCCAGGAAATGGGTGGATCTACTGTTGCCTTCAATAAATGTCTGAGGAGATACACAAGGCGCTCAGATTCTGAGAATGTCTGACAGGGCGACAAGGGCACTGCACTCGGACCACTTCTGTCTCCTCTGACTTCAGTCCATCTGTAGTTCAACTAAGTCACCTGTCAGTCACCCAAGAAAGGGGGCAGGGAATACACACCTCCAGATACCTCTTAGACACAACCGCATTTCAAAATTTACCTGTAGTTCCACTGGTGAAACAAATCACTGCAAGATCTTCAGGCGCTGGTGGCTAGAGCACATTAAAAATAACGAAAAGAAACAAACAAACAAAACCAAAGGTGGTATAAGTCAGAACAGAAAAGAAACTATAAGCCATACGCTAATTCCCAAGATTCCCACTAGTCTCAGAGACTAGATATCAGAAGGGCTTAGCAGGGCTGACATTGTGTGCTCACCTTAGGCCTCTGTCTATTGGCTCTTCCCAGGTCCTTAGGAGAAGAGAAAAAGAAATCTTGAAACATTTTCAAAATGTAAAGAATAAGGTGACATCAAGTCACTTCATGTTGACTTTACAGTGGGACTTGCTCAGAGCTGCCTCAAAGACAGTGTCTGTTTCAAATGAAAGAAACTGACAACGTTATTTAACCTAAAGTGACATATTTATGCATTGTTCTAAGCCATTTTCTGGGACACCTGGGTGGCTCAGTCATTTAAGCGCCCGACTTCAGCTCAGGTCATGATCTCACGGTTCATGAGTTTGAGCCCCGTGTCAGGCTCTGGGCTGACAGCTCAGAGCCTGGAGCCTGTTTCAAATTCTGTGTCTCCCTCTCTCTCTGCCCCTCCTCCACTCATGTTCTGTCTGTCTCTCTCAAAAATAAACATTAAAAAAATTTTTTAAAAAGGAGCCATTTTCCAGTTGTCTTCTCTCATATAAAACTGCGGAAATGGTGTTAGGACTGGCCTTTGAAACAGGATTTATTCAAAAGATGGGAATCAAGAGTTTTTTACGATGGATTTCTTATCCATATTCCCATTCCTTTTATGGTCAGCTCCTCGCCAAAACCAAGCCATAAGCATGACCCACGGACTGCAGGTGCTCTGGGCCTTCCTGAAGCCACAGCACTGACGCGTGCTCGTGCAGCTCTGGACGACCAGCTCACCGGCCTCTCTGCAGGGTCAAATGCTACAGGCTCAAGTAGCTCTACTTCCCACATGGAGTAGATAAAACATGTGGGAACCTCGGATTATAAAACCGTCCTTGACATGGGGCACCCAGGTGGCTCAGCTGGTTGAGCATCTGACTCTTAATTTCGACTCTGGTTACAATCTCACGGTTCGTGGGTTCGAGTCCAGTGTCAGGCTCTGCACGTGCAGAGCCTGCTTGGGATTCTCTCTCTCTCTGCCCCTCCCCACTTCTCTCCTTTTCTTTCTCTCTCGAAATAAACAAACTTAAAAAGATAATAATAACACAGTCCATGAGAGAACACGGAAGAGCACTGTCAGATGGACATGAGAACGGCACGCTCGTTTCTGAGGATGCATCTCCCAGCAGCGGGCTCCCAGTCACCACCAGGGGTTCACTTTCATGTTGTTCAGTTCACTGCATGGAGTTCAGTGGCCACTTCAATTAGCTATTACTTTCTTTAATGAACTATTTATATTCTTTTCCTATTAAAACGGAACAGCTTGAATGAGCAGATGGAGTGAGCATGCTGGAATAACATGGTAATTCGGTGAGTGTGCTCAGGGCTCAGTAAGCTTCTGCCCAGCATACACTTTTAAAAAATATTTTATTTATTTACTATGAGAGAGAGAAAGAGAGATAGCACACAAACAGGGGAGGGGCAGAGAGGGAGGGAGAGAGAGGGAGAATCCAAGGAAGGTTCCACACTGTCAGGGAAGAGCCCAGTGGAGGGCTCGAGCCCATGACCTGTGAGATCATGACCTGAGCTGAAATCAAGAGCCAGATGCCTAACTGACTGAGCCATCCAGGTGCCCCCAAACCATTTTTAATCTTAGTTACATTTTAAATTTTATATTTAATAAACTGCTGATTAAAAACAGGAACAATGACGTCCAAACAGAATACATCCAAGAGCTAAAACAATGATAATTCTTTTTTTTAAAAAGTAATCTTTATCAGACCCAAATCTCCACTCATCTGTTCAACATTCTTACATAACTTCTTGAGATCTCTAATTCTTTAAAAACTGATATTAAGCACAACAAAGCCATAGTTACATGCAATTTGGCTTTTAATTTATCGGGAATGCACATGATTAAAATTAGTGCCTTATATGCCAGGAAAGTTCACAGCCTCAAACCTGTATAATGATACCATGTAGAAAAGAGTACAGCAACCATAAAAATAAACAAATTGCCATCTTCAGGCTCCAAATGCCAAAACAAAACAAAACAAAACAAAAAACCTTGCCTGGAAGAAAGACTGAATTCTAGTTAATGAATAGCATAGTGAAGTATTTGGGAGCAATAAAATCTCCAACTTAATGAAAATGCATTAAAAAAAGACAATGAATGAACAGAAGAACAGAGTGATACGTGACTATATGAGAGAGCAAATATATTAAAACATTAGCTGCAGATGTTTGGTCGGTATACGTCAGTCTACTATACAATTCTTGGTACTTTGCACTGTTCTTATTTGCATGTTTGAAAATTTTCATAATAAAATATCCCCAAAAAGCAAAAACTCCAAATACCAATATTTCTCTTTTTGATCCTATTAAAATATATATCAATATAAACTTGATCACATGATCAACCATAAGGCCAATGTTAAATTCCCTTCTTAAAAATTACTTAATCTTTTGCTTACAAAATTTTAAAAACCAAGTATGAATCATATGACACAGGTAAGTGTAAAACAATGTATTTTACAAATAAAGCCTTTAATATTACCTTTACGTTGCAATCTTCACTTACCTAAATTTTTTAATCTTAAAATTATTTCATCATAGAAAAATAAAAAAATACCAAAAAATTCCTGTGGGTGTGTGCGTGTGTGTGTGCATGTTTGTGTGGTGGGTTAGGGAAAAGAAGGAAAGATAGAGGAAAAAGGTTACATTATTGTGAATGGTGATCATAAGTGAAGGTGATCATAAGTGAAATTAACAAATGCACAGAAACGCTAGGTAAAAAGCTAGCTCAAAACACCCATTCTTATGGACTCAGCATCTATGCTGCTGTGCATGTCTCTGTATACATGTGAGCCAGAAGGCTCTGTTAGAACAAATTAATTTCTCTATGGCTGCTAAGTTCCTCCGGAAAGGTATTATACAGATTCTTGTTTATAGCCTCCAATTCCTTGTAGAAGGAGAACTGTAAGTAAAATTTGAAACCCTATTTATAACAGTTCCAGGAAAATATTTATAACATTTTCAGAAGAACGGCATATTCCTGTGATGTGTACCTGACAAGATCCTCCTCTAACCAGCTTCTCTGGATTAAACTCTAATCCAACTGGGAGAGTCAGCTTTTTACATGATGTGATGTCAAACAACCAATTTAAATATGGGTCGCATTCATTTTCCTAGAATGGTTACCTTTAAAGTTTTAACTAAGGTGAGTCACAAGAAATTTAATATAAAAATAAACCAAATCAAACATCTATGCTGGAAATCCACCAGGATGCTACAAAAGCAATTTGGGAATAAGAATAATGAGGCAGATTTCTATAGCTGGCTCTGTTTTAGAAGCAAATCATTAAGGAAATGGCATTAAAGCCTAAAAAGAATATAAAAACTTAAATCTCCACCTGAATCAGAAATTCACATTTCTGGGGCACTTGGGTGGCTCAGTCGGTTAATCATCCCACTTCGGCTAAGGTCATGATCTCGCAGTTTGTGAGATCAAGCCCCACACTGAGCTCACTGCTGTCAGCTCAGTTTGAATCCTCTGTCCTTCTCTCTCTGCCCCTCCTCCCCATGTACTCTCTCTCAAAAATAAATAAACATTAAGGGGAAAAAAAGAAATTCACATTTCTACCATTTATTGGTATGGCTGGTCAGTGCTCTAGAATAAATGTGTGAGCACTGCAACTTGTTTTATGAGAGTGCTTTTTATAAGATGTGATGGATTCACACTGGGGCGTGCATGTAGAATCCTTCTTTCCGGTAATGAGGAAGGAATTTCCACCCTATGTCTTTTATGGGTTGTGGAGATGCCGACCACAGCTAGGACGGTGTGACTGCACTGGACACCACACGTGAGTCAAACTGGCCTCTGGGACGCCTGCCAGAGAAGTGGGCAGGATAACTTACCTCCATCGCCTTCATACTGGTGATTTCCACGCCGCACCTTTTGCCTCGTTCCAACAGATCGATGCCATAGGAGTCCATGATGACTATGGTTTTAAGGCCTGGTGTTAACTTATTTTCTACACCTTCTAATAGTATGTTAGCCTTATCTGGCTTGTCCACAAAAACTAGCGAGAGTTCAGCTGGGAACAAAGAGATACAATGAAGAATGAGCTCCGAGATATTAAAAAGCTTGACTGTACAATATCTGACACCAGACTATTTTAAGGACTTACAGTCTTTGAATAGGAAGACAGATGTGCATTTAAACATAAAATCCCTATCGAATCAAACACAGTCAAGTGTAAAGCCACCAAATCTAACTGATAACTAGGTCAGGGCCCAACCTGGAGACCGCAGACATACCTTTGTTGATTATGTAGGTGATTGCTTCGGCTCCGAGTGTATCATAGAGGGGGACGGTCACCATGGAGTAAGCAAAGCATCCCTGTTCAATGATCACCCACTAAATGAACAGTAAAGGTCAGAGAGAGAAAACGAGAGGTCATTCCGGAACCACTCCAAGCAGAACACTCTGAGAGACTCAAAGTGGAAACACCGGATGTGGCAAAATTAACATTTATGTGTCTATTCCTATGTGCCAGGCACCATGGTTGGATTCGTGATGGGAACAAAACACTGCCCCCTTCTTAGAAGGACAGTGCAATATGCCGGAAGAATCGAGGCAAAGATGCGAGAAGATAATTAACCCTACGAGCCAGTGGAGGGCTCAGGCATGAGGGAGTCGGGGGTGGCCCACGTCTGCGGGGCACATGACTGAGTCCGCCCTTTGCAAGGGCAGCACGGTTTGGACACATGGAGAAAACGGCACGGAGACTCCAGTGCGGGGGCTGCGCAATGGAAAGCAGGGGGAGGGCAGTGAGCCCTCGGGGTGTCCCAGCAGGCAGGGTTAGAGGCGGCCTGCAGCAGGCCTGCGCCTGTACAGCGGCCTGGCTCCGCCCCCAGGTAACGCGTGGCCACCAAGGGCTTCTCGGCGACAGAGGCCCTGGGGTCTGAGAAGATCAACCTGGCCTCCGCGTGCAGTAAGACCTGGGAACTGGGGAAGGAGGGACACACCCAATGTCTAACGGGAGAAACGTTCTGGCAAAATCTCCCCAGAACAGTGACTGCTCTCCTCGCCTCTAACTCATCAGCCATGTGGCAACTAATCTGCCTGCGAGGCAAACAAGGCAAGACCAGCCTGTCACTGACAGTCCTTGGCGGCGTCTCGTTTCCAGCTGCAGTTCTCGAATCTGCAGCACCTGACACGCGGCCACGGCGCAGATCAAGGTACAGCCGCCGTGGACAGGCAGCACGCCCCCCTTGTGGTCACTGGGCCCAGGGCAGCTGTCTTCCTTTTTCTTTCCTGGCACCAGTTTCAAACTACCAACAGGGAGGGCAGGCCCAAGCCCCTCAGCAGGGCCCATGTGGGACACGCGGCCCTGTCTTCCCTGTTCCTCAAGCTCTACTAGAGTAAAATCCCTCAATCTCCCACACAGACATGCTGCTTCATGCAAACCTGTGGTTGCTCCTGACCCTCTCTTGGCTTCCCCACTCTCATATCCTTCACGACTCTACTGGGAGGCCACCTCCAGGAAGTCCTCCTTGACTGAGCTCCCATAACCCTTTTCCCTGTGTCTGTGCTTACCAGGCTACAGAAGAAGCATCACCTGGGGCGCCTGGGTGGCTCAGTCGGTTAAGCACCCGACTTTGGCTCAGGTCATGATCTCACGGTTCGTGGGCTTGAGCCCCATGTCGGGCTCTGTGCTGACAGCCAGCTCAGAGCCTGGAGCCTGTTTCAGATTCTGTCTCCCTCTCTCTCTGACCCTCCCCTGCTCACACTGTCTCTCTGTCTCTCTCTCAGAAATAAAAAAAAAAAAAAAAATTAAAAAAAAAAAACATAAAAAAAAAAAAAAGAAAGAGCATCACCTTATGGGCTGGTCTTCCCTCACGTGGTACCTTACGAGAAGGATCCAAATCACTGTTGTGCTTTGGTGCCTTGTGGTGCCTGGCACATAGTAGGTGCTCCATAAACATTTATTAAACTAACTGATAAATATAGGAAGGAGCTTATCCTATGAAGTAAGGAGTATGTGTCCTAGTCACAGATTCAGTGAAAAATTTCACTAACGCCAAAATCTGGGATGTGTTCACTTGAATGGATTTCACTTAAAATGAAAGAAACTAAGTTCCATGAGCCAGTCATAGTCTGGCTGTGGAAAATGCTGTTTACCCCTTACCAGTGCATAAAACTCTAGGAAACCAGCCTAATTTATACAATGGTCTGTAGCACAGTGACTGAGCCAACATGTCTTTTAGACACAAGAACCAATTCAATTTCTTCGAGCCTGGTGCTTGAATTTTTCCAAGCCAAGTTATGCCACCGATCTATTTACTAACGCTGTAATATGTGTGTTATATATATAAAATACACATTTATATAATATATATGCAATAATTCCAAAAGAGCTTCTCTTTCAAACTGACCTGAATGCAAGGGTTTACAGAATCACCACGCACAGGCTTTGACAACAGCCACACAGGCTGCGTGTCCACACTGAGGCTGACTCACGGTAAGGCGTTCTCCCTGCTGCTTATGGTATTTTAAACTTTATAACCTGCTCAGAGGGAAAGCTCCTACTTTTCAGAAAGCAAAGAGGGGAGTCCACTACTGACAAAAATGTATCCAAGTTTCTCTAGAATTTATTGATGCTCTTTTTCTAATCACAGAGGTAAGCCTTAAGGTAAGAGGAGTCTTTGTTAGTTATTTGTTCTAGTAACATCTTGGTTAGTTTTTGTTTGGGACCTGGTTAAAAAAAAACAAAAAGCAATAATCATAAATGGATATATATTTTTTTTCCACTGAAAGGCCAAGGAGTCCCCGGCTTGGGTTTTTACATGTATAACTTTCTAAGGAATAACAGACACATATTCTCAGTAGACATCAGAGCACAAAATCGGGTCCCAAGCAAAGGTCTGTATGAACTCCAGTTGGCTCTTACAGGTGCGAACTCTCAAAACCACATACATTTGGTGTCTAACAGTCAATACCTCAGGTCTGTTCTGAGAAAAGATGCCAATGTACTGATCTGGCGCGGTCTTGAAGCCCTTCTGGATCAGCGCTGAGCCCATGCACTCTGACTTGTCCGCAACCTGAAACGGGGAGGGACATCATCAGGAACCATGTCCGGCTCAACCCAGGGAACAAGGCTCAGTGGAGTGTCGGCCGGCTGGGTCTACTACCTCGGGCAGCAAGCACGCCGCACGGGGAAGGAGGGCAGGAGCGAACGGGGCTCCCTTAGCCCTACATTTGTGTAACACACGAGGCTGGCTTCACCGGATCTCACTATTAGGGGCGGTGGTCACAGGGCTCCTTCTGCAAAGCCGGGGAATTGATTCCAACGCTGCAGGTCAGAGGTCACGGGATACCTGGGCTTCTTACACACATTTCTATTTCATACTTTAGTTTCATAGAATCATAAAAGTAATACAAGGATGTAGAATAATAAAAATAACTTGCATTTATAAAGAGCAGCAAAGCAGCCCAAACTGGTCATTTGCTATAAATACAGAAATAGCAAGTTTGGGGGCCACCTGCAGAAAACTTGTAACAATTTTAAGTAAAATAAATAATAAATATTATTATTATTTATAATTATAAAATATTATTATTAATTATTTATATTATAAAAATAGGTAGTCTCATAAAAATTAGGTAGGATTATAAGCTTGCCCACATCCTCTCCCCATTCCTACCCCAAATTAACTACTAAGACATTTTTTTCATCTTAAGATTTGGCATTCTTTTCTATTTTTAAAAAATGTTTATTTATTTATTTTGAGAGACAGAGAGACAGAGCTTGAGTGGGGGAGGAGCAGAGAGAGGGAGACACAGAATCTGAAACAGGCTCCAGGCTCCGAGCTGTCAGCACAGAGCCTGATGCGGGGCTCGAACCCACGAACCGTGAGATCACGACCTGAGCCGAAGTCGGACGCTTACCTGACTGAGCCACTCAGGCGCCCCTGGAATTGTTTTCTTTATTCTCAGTTGCTGAGCTCTCGAGAGCACTGTGAATCCCCACCCATGCCCATAGGGAATAAAGCCACAGCTGTGCCTGCCCAGAACCCGTTTGCCCTGGCACACAGTGCCACCTCGCTCTGCCTATGGGAATGAGAGCTGCCAGGTGAGGAGACAGCAAGAACGACATGAATATGCTTATTGTTTCCATCTTCAGATCCCAGCCTGTTTCACAACCTCTGCATGCACGTACGGGATGGGAACCCGTGAAATGCTGTGGTTTGCAGAGCTTCCTACGCTCACGTGCGTGCATTTTTATCTCCAGAAAGAGGCTCCATACCTTCCCTCAGAAAACCTCACGGGGTTCCTAGCCCCGCAAAGGACAGAGCCACTAAGCTAGCGAAAAGTGTACAAATCCAAAGTTGGCTTCTGTTTTGTCTCGTTTTATATCTTCACTGGCCTCTGGCTGAAAGGTAGAACACGCAGATGAACACCTCCAGGAAATGCAGTGATCTTCAGTCTGCCTTGAGAAGTCCAATCTGCAATGGACGTGTCTTACGCCTTCCAGCCAGCCTCTAGCAGAGTTAATCCACACCGCACCTGTGCGTTCCGGGAGGCCTGAACACCACCACACCACGTTACGTGTCCAACACACATGCACAACTGTTTCTACACCCCTTGTGAAAATAAGGGACCTTGGCAGCATTTTATTTGGGCTCTGGAAAGGCAAAACAAAAGCGGTGAAATCCCTCTGGTCCCCTGGGCCACACATCTCATCCCTCCTTCCACAAGAACTAGGTCCACCAAGCTGTTCTGTCTCTTGGCTCGCTGTCAAGAGATACCCAAGCCAAGCCTTCCGCATCTCACTGCCCTTCAGATGAGGGAAGGGAAGACAAGGTGGTGTGCGGCTCAGTCTAGGGAGGGCCGGCGAGCGCTATTCCCGAGCCGGCTTTGTGGCTCCTCGTGACAACCCCCGTCACATATGCACCCCAGAGCACACCTGCCAAACGTGGAAGGAGGACGTTCACTTGGCTTCGTGAACGCCACAGGATGGCCTGCCCCTACAGCAGGGAGCCGCTTCCTGGACAGCTGTGCTGGAAACAAAAGGCAGCAGAAACTGACGAGCGGCTCCCGTGCGTCTGGGGGTCCTGCCTCCTGGGGTGAAGCGGGGGCATCCAGATGTCTTGCGGACATGATCAAAATAAGAAGCAGCGTCTTCCTGCTCTGCTCCCTCCCGGCCAGCGGAAACTACTGAAGCAGCTATAGCTGCGGGTCAGCAGGACTGCAGAGGGACAGGAATAAACAGAAATACGCCCAATCCCAGCCTCCTCTGTGTCCATACAGTACACAGGTATCACCTCCGAACATGCTTGCGTGGGCTGCCCCGGGGCTCAGTGCCACAGCAGCCCCAAGCTGGTCAGGTTTATACGATGCACCAAAGAGCCCTGTACCAGAAGGTGTGGGCCTCACTTCTGGTCCTCTTTCTGTCGCTAACCAGCTTGTGACGTTAGGCGAGGCCCATCCTTTCCTGGCGTACATCTTCCTCATCTATAACAGGAGAGGGTTACTCTCTACTGGGGCTTCTAAATATCTCTAGCACCCCTCAAGGCAGAGGAGAAATTCTATTCCCCCATGGACTCAGAGCACACTTCTAGAACGTTATCTTAAAATTAAGTTCAACTCCACAACGCATCCATTGTAAGTTCAACAATCAAGTGCTTATGAACCACCAATGAAGTTCCTTAACCAGTTTTTTCCCAAATGGCTGTGGAAGACTTCTCCCTTTGCACACTGTGCGCTGACCCCAAGGCTTTGGGCCAGCGCAGCACCGGGACTCGGTAGCGACCCTCCAGCCCTCACAGCGGCTCTGAGCGCTGACGTATTTCAGTGGCACCCTTGCACAAGGACCCACAGAGCCAGAAAACTCACCTCTTTGTAGGAAAGCCATTCATAGGGCTGGTCTGGCTTCCGAGAGCCTAAACAAGGGCCATTATCTGAAAAAAGAAAAAAGAAAAAATGGGCTTGACATGCATCAACATTCTAATTTATGCTCCATCCTACAAAGGATCAGGTAGATAGATTTTTGTCCCTAGATTAGAAATAATGAGTTCAGGTCGGAAATGTGTTCTCCCTGGGTTCTGGTCTGATTTTTTGTTTGTTTCTATTTTGTTTCTTAAATGGGGTGGGAGAAGAGGAAAAAATGAGAGGATATAAGGCAAATACAATTTTTAAGGACACTCAATTTGTGAATTCTTCAGTACCTTGTTGGTTTAGAAAGGAGTCAGTAGCTGAATGGTAAAGAAATTCTGGTGTAGGTTTTCAAAAGAATCTCTCAAAATTTCTAAATTTAAAGCATTCTAACTCAGAATGTAAAAAGGAAAATATGATTCTTAAATGCCCAAATTCCGATGACCTGGACTTTATTTACATGGGTGAAGTCCTAACTGCAAAGCAACAAAAATGAAGAAAAGATGCAAAATGAGAGAAAATAAGGGAGTATTTATAAAAGCAAAAGTTAAGAAAATCAGGATGGATGCACTTGGGTGGCTCTGCTGGTTAAGTATCTGACTCTTGATTTTGGCTCAGGTCACCATCTCTGTTTGTGGGACTGAGCCCTACGTGGGGCTCTGCACTGACAGCGCAGAGCCTGTTCAGGATTCTCTCTCCCTATCTCTCTGCCCTTCCCCCTACTCATGCACACTCTCTCTCTCAAAAATAAAATGAATGTTTAAAAAAAAAAAAAAGAAAGAAAGAGATATCAGGATGCGTCCTGATTCTAACCCAGGTACTGAATAAACAGGAAGAAAGAAAACCTGGTATTAATTATTCCTGCTAAGGGCTAGCACAGTAATAAATATCATTCAAGTGATTTATATTTGGAATTGTGCAAGTTTCTTTCTACAGATTAACCCCTAGCTAACTCTACGCTCAGTTTGTGGTTGTGGAAGGAAAACCATGTCCACTCCACCCCCTCCCCCCAGCAAAAAGCTGCCATGTTCAGATGATCAGAGTTGACCATATACCAGAATGTTCCTTAACTAGAAACACGGGTTCTACCACCATCCGTGTGCCTGCACGGCTTCTTCTACAGACTGTTTTGTCACCTCCCCTCTGAATGGGGTGCCTGCATTTCTGCCTGGTGACTATAACCTATCTGGCTTCCCCATTCCAGGCTTGAGTGGCAGTTCAGGTGTTCCGATTTGGCCTGGGGGCCTGGAGGAAGAGGGAGGGACAGCGGAGCACGGCCCCAGTGACATCCCTGATATGCTGTACCTATCACACAGAGTCCCCCCACTAGCGAAGAAAAGGGTGCTGCACATACGGGTCAGTCGTGAGCATGGGGAGACAAGTTCTCTGCTCCACCCTGGCTTCCTGACTCTCTCTACAGCAGCCCTGATGCAAACAGAAAGCGCATAGAGGGCCTTATTCTCAGACGCGCTTCAGTTCACAGGGACTGTAATAAAGACCTCGCTGGACAGCACAAGGTCCATCAGAAGTTGTTTGCAGACATTTGCCATGTGAAATAATGTTATTTTATTCTTTGGGAACAGGCACTGGCCATCTGTAGGCAGGAGCTCAATCAAGCCTGCCACCTGTTATTGTAAATAACAGTTTTATTGGAGCCCAGCCTTGCTCGTTCACTTCCGTACTACGTAAGACTGCAGCTGAGCAGTCCTAACGGAGACTGTATGGCCCTAAAAGCCGACCAGATTTACCATCTGGCCCTTTACAGAAAAAACAGGACCCCAGCACCAGGACATGGAACTTAAAAAAAGATATTATACCCAGGCCCTACTAACAAAATTTTTGATGTAACTGGACAGGGATGGGGCCTGGGCCTTAGTGGTTTTTAAAAGTCCCCCCCAGGTGATGCTGCAGCGCGGCTGGGGACGAGAATCCGCTGGTTCACAGGCAGAGGGCCCCTGGGAAGCGGCTCCCTGCGTGCGGCCTGCAAAGACGAGGCTTAAAGTCTCCAGGCCGGCTCGCTCCTCCCGTCATTCAACAGACTCCTAAGTTCCTTACCTAGAGGCTCGCTTTTGCTCTCCTATCAAGGCTTAATCTTAGGGTAGTTGAGAAAATTAAAGCTTCTAGAATAAAAAGCTCCTCTAGAAAAAAATAAAAAGGCAAAAGTAACCCGCAGTTTACTTTCCTTCTTCGGTAGCGGTGAAGAAGACTGAACTTAGTTTTCTTCAACTTCTCTGAAACATTCATGTAAGACCTTCATTTTCCAAGTAGAGGAAGGTAAGAAAAAAAATTAAAAGTTACCGTCTTAAGAGGAGAGGAGAGTCAGAGTGGAATGTAAGTCATCACATTGCCTAGAGGAAGTCATTCTCTGCTAACAGTGGGAAAACCATAGAAACCTTTACACAGATGCCTTTGTGGTAGTGGTAAAGGCTGCTCACACTATGTACCTGCACATACATACACACACATATAAATATTTTGATGTGGCCTTATGTTAGGCTGCTGTCCCTTACGGATATGTACTATCACGGACAAACCCTGCCCCTGCCCCTAACTTTGAAGAAGTTCATAAATTACTTGCTGTCCCTTTATCGTGGGGCCTAATGAATCTGCCACAGGAACAGCGGGGCGAAAGCACATCAGCGCAATCAGTTTCATGAGTATCGGGTGAAAACCATGGCCCCTCCAGAGCACATACCACACGCAACACGTTGTGGGGACAGAGACAGCAATAGCACGCAGCCCCGGACCAGCAGGAGGCGACAGTCTAGTGAGCAGTAGAAAAATAAAAGCTAACCACCGAACGATTTAAACAACAAACGTGTGGATCCCAAAGGCCATTTCTGGAGAGTAACCTGGGACGAGCCGAAACGAAGAGGCTGAAACAAAAAGCGGGGAGGGGGAAACAGGGAGTCCTGTCTCCATCGCTGAGGACGCGTTCACGGAGCACCTACTGTGTGCCGGTGCCGAGAGAGGAGACAGCTGCCCAGGAGCACTGGCTAGTGGGACAGATGGGCAGGTAAATGCCTGTTACAGAAATAGGTACAAGTTGCTGGGGAAAGCAGGCATCTCCAGCTGGAGGCAGGAGGTGAAAACAAGGGAACAGGAAGGTTTTACAGAAAAGGTGAAAAAAAGCAATACGAGCTTTACAGGCTTAGTCAGCATACAGCAAGCGCCAGGGGCTGGAGGCAGGAAAGAAGTGGCTTTCCGATCAGGGTAAAAACAAATGCGCAAAGGTGTGGGGTGAGGAGAAGGAAGGGGTCCTGGTTTGGCAAGGAGTTCAGGGTGATGTGAGGCAAGTGCACACGGAGTCTGGAAGGGAAAGAGGCTGGAAGGGCACGCAGGTGCCACACAGCACACGGTCCCCTGGGCCACCGCTACTAACGGGGCGTAGGCCCACGAGCCAGCACTTGCGACGCGTCTCAGGGAACGCTGCCTCCCTGGGATGTCTGCTTATTTCCGAAACTATGGGTCTCATGCTCAAGTGAGCTTGAAAATGTTGGACTGGGCCCAATTAAACAGGTCTCTGTACCTCAGGATACGTCAGAGCCCACGACGAGCTAACACAAGTGTGACAGCATACGGGACATGCGGAAAACATATGCGACCACGGGCCCCGCTCTGCCAGGGGATCAGCTAGAGGGGCTGGCGCGCTTCGGAGCTCGCTCTGGGGACGTTACGGGAGGAGACAGGGACACCCGAACAGGTGGAAACAGGTGTTAGACGGAGCAAAGACGCCTTTCTCCAGAAAGACCACTGTTCTGAATGGGAGCCGTTGAGCACGCGTCACACAAATCCAGCAAATGCTTACTTGACACCTGGATGCCCCTCTGGAAACCCTCGTACACGGTTCTGACATCTTCGTAGAAATACACCAAGGGCTCATCGGTCTCCAGGAGCGCGGATTTCCGGGCACCATCACTACCCTGTGAGAAGACACAGACACATGAGCCGTCAGAAGACAGTGTTGAAAAGAAAAGGCCTCGCACGCACACCCGCGCCGCCCTGCGGGGGCCCCTGTGGAGGAGCTGCTCCGTGGGCGCTGAAAGAACGGAAGGGCGGGACTTGCCAACCTAAAGCATTCAGCTGGGGCCAACTGCTGGCTTCAGGGAAGCAAGGCTAAGACCAGATGGCTGTCCGAGGGGCCCTGGGAAAAGGGAGCAGCAGAGCAGACATCTGAGCAGGGGTCTGGCAGGAGGACCGGAGGCCTGTCACCACCACACACGGTGACCAGTCTCAGACCTCTGCCATCGATGGCACAGGAGGCTGCGTTTGGGTCAGCTCTCGTGGAAATGACACACCTTTCCGTTTTACTTCCATAATGCCATGCAGGTTCCTTCTGAGATTATTTCCACTGTTTTATCTCTGTGTCGACAGCAGTATATCCTGGTAGGAACCTTAGATTCTCATAGAGCATCTAACAGGTAATAATCACCAGCTAGAAAACGTACGGAGGGAGGTGCAGGGACACGTTTTTACTGCTTTGATTTGCTACATTTGTAGGGATGCAGATCTGGTATCTCCGTGCACCCTCGTGTATGTGGTCTTTCCTGGGTGGTGCAGAAAGTATACCTCCTCTCTGCAATAACTCCTAACTAGTTGCAGAAGTTATCATAAGAGGAAGTAACTCTCTAGGGGCACCTGGGTGGCTCAGTCAGTTGAGCATCTGACTCTCGATTTTGGCCCAGGTCATGGTCTCATGGTTTGTAAGTCCGAGCCCCATGTCGGGAGCCTGCTTGGGGTTTTCTCTCTCCCTTTCACTGCCCCTCGCCCTCCCCCTCTCTCCTCTAAGGGGGTGGGGCGAAGAGGTAATAGCTCCCAACCTCTGAGCTGTGCAGCCCTCCAGGGCCACAGAGATACTGTGGGTCCAGATAGCCACAGAAACACCAAGCATTCCTTAGGAACTGACAAATCAAAGCTCAACTACTATGATGTCAGAGTCTATGATTTTTTTAATTTCAGAGGGGGGGGGGTCTTCACATGCACAACGGTCAGGAAACACTCTCTTGGGGAAACCACACAATGATGTAAGAACTTCTTAGTACTATAAGAAAGAACCGTTCATAGTGAGAGAGATAATTTCTAGCATGCGATTTGAAGAAAGTGGACAGGAAAGCCTTCATGAAGAAGGGGGCAAAAGACTAGGTCTCAGAGACTAGAGTGTGAGCAGGCAGAGATGATGGAAAAACGGACACATTCCAGGGGCAGCACCAACATGGAGACCTTTATAGGTAATGACTGCCGGAGAGATTTTGATGGATTTTTTTTTCTTCTTCTTCTATTTTTTGTTTGTTTGTTTTCAGGATTTAGTTAGTAGCCTTCATACTCCTCCAACAAGCTCTCCTCCCAACCAATTTATCACGTATGTACTTCAAAAAAAAGGTAACAGTACATAAGTATATTATGGAAAAAAGAGACTCATCCCTATTACCAGTTTGATGAGTTCCTTCCGGACTTTTTTCTATGGTCTACATTTATATAAATTCTTTCATTATCTATTACGTATTAAATATGTGTTTGACACTTGCTCTAAACCTACAAATAGTTTTCTGGAGTAAATATCACCCCATGGTGTATTCTACAATCGTCACACAGTCTTCTTTCTGTATCTTGGCAGAAACTTTCTAACACCTGCAGCCATGATTCCAAACATAATTATTAATTATAACATGCTACTTTATAAAGCAGTTATTCTTTGCGTGTATAATGGTGGGGAAATCCCTGTGCTGTAGGATCATGATTATTACTTAACCTCAGTCTGTTTGCTTTTCTGCAAAATGGGGATACCATGTGTCCACATCCAGGGTTATTTTTAGGTAAACAAAATTGGCCTTAGAAAATATGAATATGTAGAATACTACACAGACACCCTACAATATCCCCAAAATAGCAGTCCTTCTTAGCCTGTATCTTTTCTCCAACAAATACTCAGATTAAAATTCAGAAGCAATTTTGTCACTTTATATTAAGTACGTTTCCACCCAGGAAGCCACCAAAGAGAGCCAGGGCATCACGGCTAAGGTAGGAAAGAAAGGGGCGAGGGACTGAGGGGCAGAAAGCTAAGAAAAGAGGTGTGTCCAGTGAAGAGGAGAGCACTGCCACGAATAACTGCCCCCTGGCCCCTGGCTCAGCCCACTCTGCCTATCAACTCATGGCCGGGACAGACGGGCAGCCAGGTAGCCCGCAGGGAGGTCCTCACGACCTCAGCCTGGGACGGGGCCTCCTACCCCTCTTATCATGACTCTCATTCATTCGTGGTGTCCCTCAGTGGTTTCTCTGCTAAAGCAACACTGCCCTCCCCCAGGGGTTCCGCTGAGAACCCCTAAAGCTGTCAATGGGCCAGATGCTAATCAGGTGAATAAGACACAGAGCTTTTGCTGAAGGAGCCCAAGTCTTATCCTTACGTCACCAGAGATGCTTCAAAGAGCACCAGCTGAGCAAAGAGTGCAGAGGAAGTTAGAATGAACAGACAGGAGTAGCCTGCAATCTTCTGAGCAGAGACTCGCCCTCAAGCTGAGGTCCTCAGACGATGGTCTGGGGAACACCAGGCCCTTGTAAGGAAAGCGAATTAGCTAGCCCTGCGCCCGATCTACTGAATCAGAAACTCTGGGAGTGTGGTCCAGCAGTCTGTGTTGCAGCAAGGTCTCCAGGGGATTCTGGTGCACGATATAGTGACAGCCACCAGCCTGGAGGCATTCGGGTCCCAGCAGGGATGCGGTGAAGATCCGGGCAAATGCTTCAGAAAAAAATCTACAAGAAACATGACCAGCCTGAAGAATGGGAGGGAGGGACATCTACTCACATGGGCCCGGGTGAAGGCAGTGGCAAGTGGGTGTGGGGAGAAGGGTGACCCCAGAAGCAGTACTGGCTAACGAATGGGATTTGGCAAGTACCTTGGTGTAGGAGCAAAGAAGGAGGTCTAAAAATAGCAGTTCCATTTTTATCAGAACTAGAAGACGGGCCATGGGGGCCAGGTTTGCGAAGAGAGCCAGTTAAGCTTTGGCTATATATATATGGAGGCAATATCCCTCTCAAGGCAGGTCAACTTCTCAATTTCTGTTTTGAGAATCCACTGCTCTAGAGTACAATTTCACAACAAACTTTGGTTAAATAATTCTTGGGTTACGGTTAATCTTTTGGTGGTATATAATCTTCAGAACTTTGAGAAACATGGAGGTCAAACAGCCAAATCCAAGTTCAAGAAGTTAATTATATCCCAAATCATCTTGACAAAGTAATCTGAAGACAAGACATTTATTGTCATTCTAATTAGCAATTAGAATAATTAGCAAAAGTTTGAAGAGGAAGCACTGAGAGAGTTCTATGCCAAAAAGGCACACCAATTAAGGCTTAGATGAAACTGGGTAAAAGGTCACACTCACTGACTTGTAAGGCATACTCTGTCATTTCAAGAGAGGAGTCTGAAAGACAGAGCAAGGGAGCGGGGGAGGGGCACTAAGCAAGACCTGGGCTTTGAAATTTGTTGCTCTGTGAAATGAGCACACGTTCCTCTAAAGAATCATTTTTGGTGTGCCTATGTGTTACCATCCTTCTTGAACAAAAATGCTATTTGTAAACACTGGGTGTTAGCAACGTTAATTATACCTACAAAGGGGAAGTGAGTGTTGGGAAGCCCACCTATAACCACCAAGCTCAAGATGTCCGTATGGGCTACAGACTCAAGCCATTTCAAAAGGAGGGCGTTTCATTCCTGGGTCATGCAAGTACATGTGGCTATTGCTAAGAACATCTATGTAAATGAAAGAAAAAAAAACCTTTAAATTTGGCCCTTCTGGACTTCGGATATAAACCTACAAATGAGGGGGGTGGAGATGGTTTGAATGGTGCTCAAGAAACAGAGAGCTAAACAGACAACCCCAATAAAATGTGCAGGCAATCAGTCAATAAGACTGAGTGTCAAGGAGGATTATGCTATCTATATACTTCTTAAATGTGGTTTTACAGTTTTTCCAAAAAAAAAATAAACAGAAGATGATGAGTCAAATACACTATGGTCACATCATTGCTCATGAGTAAATTCTGCAACATCTATATACAAGCTAAGGTTCCTCTTGAGGTCAGTCTCCCCACATGGGCTGAATTAGGGAATAAAAATTCAAGTTCCATCCACTGAGGGCCAGTAAGGGCAGGACCACAGTGGACATCTGCATATCAGAGGTTTGGAAGACCAGAGCCCTTGCCAATGCAGGGACCCCACTTTTATGAAAGACCCAATGAGTACCTGTCTGTTTTCACTAGCCACAAGAAATCTGAAGAGGAGTTTTGCTTTTATGAAAAAGCTATTACTGTACTAATGCAGGTCTTTTATAAAAGGGAAGTGGCTAACTTGAACTTCTGGAAAGTGGCAGATGCTCTTGCTTTATGCCGTTCAGACTTACAGAAGCTTTCATGGGAACGCTCTACTTTCGGGTAACAGGGGACGCCTGTATTTGACAGAAAGGACTCTTGGTGGTGACGGTCATTTTGTGCACTCTCAAACCTAACTGCAAAAGGAAATGACACCCTTGAGGATTTCTGCGGGATACAAAGACCCAGGCCTTGGAAATGGTGGTCTCTCACTCACCTCAATCTGGGCCCTGCCAGTCGAGTTCCCCTTTTGTTACGGTTTAGTCCCTCTAAGGGGGGAGGGGCGGGGCAGGAAGAGGGAGGGAGACACAGGAGGGAAGGACAAGGGTGTAACTTGTAAGGATTCTATTGGAGACACATCTGGATTTTAATGTTAAATCCATCACTGGGGGGAACAGCAGCAGATGGAATCACAGCCCTGGGGGGGAGGGGTGGGGAGTAAAAGAGACTTTTTTTTTTTGCTGTTGCCAGTACCCTCCCTGTGAACTCCTCTTCCCAGCACTGACACTTGTACATGCATCGCCCTGTCCGCTTCTTTCTTTAAACAGGCACATCTTCT